TCTCTCTCTCCTCTCTCTCTTTTCTTTCTTCTTCTCTTCTCTCTCTCTCTCTCTCTCTCTCTCTCTCTCTCTCTCTCTTCTCTCTCTCTCTCTCTCTCTCTCTCTCTCTCTCTCTCTCTCTCTCTCTCTCTCTCTCTCTCTTCTCTCTCTCTCTCTCTCTCTCTCTCTCTCTCTCTCTCTCTCTTCTCTCTCTCTCTCTCTCTCTCTCTCCTCTCTCTCTCTCTCTGTCTCTCTCTGTCTCTCTCTCTCTCTCTCTCTCTCTCTCTCTCTCTCCTCTCCTCTCTCTCCCTCTCTCTCTCCTCTTCTCTCCTCCCTCTCTCTCTCTCTCTCTCTCTCTCTCTCTCTCTCCTCTCTCTCTCTCTCTCTCTCTCTCTGTCTCTCTCTCCTCTCTCTCCTCTCTCTCCCTCTCTCTCTCTTCTCTCTCTCTCTCTCTCTCTCTCTCTCTCTCTCTCTCTCTCTCCTCTCTCTCTCTCTCTCTCTCTCTCTCTCTCTCTCTCTCTCTCTCTCTCTCGCTCACTCCTTCGCTCTCTTTCTACCTATCTACCTATCAGTCTGTCTATCCAACCATCTATATATCTATTCATTTATCTTTCCATCTATATGTCGGTCTATCTGTTCATACATCTATCTATCAGTCTGTCTATAATGATGTCTCTGTTTGTCTGCCTGCGTCTATCTATCTATCTATCTCTATATACCTATCCATCCATCTATCGGTCGGTCCTTGAGTCTATACATCTGTATATCAATCTATCTATATTGGTGCACCTTTTGCTGGCTGTTTCATATAATCCCTAGCTTTCTGTCTACCTTATCTATTCAACTACCCATCTCTATCTATCTATCCACTTATCTATTTATCTATCCATCTATCTGTCTGTCTTTATGTCTCTGCCTCTGTCTTTTTGTGTATGCCCCTTCTCTCCTGTTCTCTCGTTCTCTCTAAGGATGTTTAAAAAAAACATCTAAGGCACTTTTAGAAGAGAACTTTAAAGGAAAACCCTCTTTTTCTTTCTACTCAGCGAAATATAATGCGGTATGGAGAAAAAAAATAGTCAGGGAAAAGCAGATTGTTAAGGAAAAATAATAATGAGAACGAAAAAAAACAAAAAAAAATCAGAGTTGTGAGCTGGCAAGTGTACTCTGTGTTACTAAAGAAAAAGGGAAAGCTAATAAAAATTATTTCATGTATTTGTTTAGTTAATAACAAACAAACAAAACACACAACACATCCTCTCTCTCTCTCTCTCTCTCTCTCTCTCCTCTCCTCTCTCGTCTCTCTCTCTCTCTCTCTCTCTCTCTCTCTCTCTCTTTCTTTCTTTCTCTTCTCTCTCTCCTCTCTCTCCTCTCTCTCTCTCTCTCTCTTTCTCTCTCTCTCTCTCTCTCCTCTCTCTCTCTCTCTCTCTCTCTCTCTCTCTCTCTCTCTCTCTCTCTCTCCTCTTTCTCTTTCTCTCTTTCTTTCTGTTCTTCTTTCTCTCCCCCCTCTCCTCTCTCTCTCTCTCTCTCTCTCTCTCTCTCTCTCTCTCTCTCTCTCTCTCTCTCTCTTCTCTCTCTCTCTCTCTCTCTCTCTCTCTCTCTCTCTCTCTCTCCTCTCTCCTCTCTCTCTCCTTCTCTCTCTCTCTCTTCTCTGTCCTCTCTGTCTCTCTTCTCTCTCTCCTCTCTCTCCTCTCTCTCCCTCTCTCTCTCTCTCTCTCTCTCTCTCTCTTCTCTCTCTCTCTCTCTCTCTCTCTCTCTCTCTCTCTCTCTCTCTCTCTCTCTCTCTCTCTCTCTCTCCTCACTCCTTCGCTCTCTTTCTACCTATCTACCTATCAGTCTGTCTATCCAACCATCTATATATCTATTCATTTATCTTTCCATCTATATGTCGGTCTATCTGTTCATACATCTATCTATCAGTCTGTCTATAATGATGTCTCTGTTTGTCTGCCTGCGTCTATCTATCTATCTATCTCTATATACCTATCCATCCATCTATCGGTCGGTCCTTGAGTCTATACATCTGTATATCAATCTATCTATATTGGTGCACCTGTTTGTCTGGCTGTTTCTATATATCCCTAGCTTTCTGTCTACTTATCTATTCAACTACCCATCTCTATCTATCTATCCACTTATCTATTTATCTATCCATCTATCTGTCTGTCTTTATGTCTCTGCCTCTGTCTTTTTGTGTATGCCCCTTCTCTCCTGTTCTCTCGTTCTCTCTAAGGATGTTTAAAAAAACATCTAAGGCACTTTTAGAAGAGAACTTTAAAGGAATGAACCCTCTTTTCTTTTCTACTCAGCGAAATATAATGCGGTATGGAGAAAAAAAATAGTCAGGAAAAAGCAGATTGTTAAGGAAAAATAATAATGAGAACGAAAAAAAAAAAAATCAGAGTTGTGAGCTGGCAAGTGTACTCTGTGTGACTAAAGAAAAAAGGGAAAGCTAATAAAAATTATTTCATGTATTTGTTTAGTTAATAACAAACAAACAAACACACACACACACACACACACA